TGCAGATGGGGTCGGACGGAAGGTGTGATGGTTGGTTTTGAGTGGGCTTAGTTCTCAAAAAGCCCAGCCTCATTTGTAGTCACCGTCACATTTTGTTCCCATTGGAAGATTTACCCTGATCCTTTGCTCTCAAGACTGATCTAAAAATTAGGAGTTTTACTTACTTTCTATCTTGGTGACAGTGGTCATGAGGACAAATGAGAAGATTAAATCTCTCCCAGCAGAGACAACAATGAAAACTTGGCAGAGGGTCTAATCTTCCACACTCCCATATAAAGTTAAAAAGGAGAAAAGATTTTGCTTTTACATATAATTTAATCGGGCTGTTTATGACTACCTTTTATATATAACCAGGTTGAAGGTCTGATGGATGCTTTTTATCCCATTGCATCTTACCATTGTATCTTAGGGGTCGTTCACACCAGATGCTGTGCGTTCCGGCCCGATTCTGGCTAGAACGCACTGCATCGCATTACGGCCGGCTCACTTTTTTGTGGGGCAGGAAGGGGCGTGGCAGGCCATTGAAGTGAATGGCACCTAGCCATGCCCTTCGGCCGCAATGCGATCGGCCACACGGGATCGGTAGGGCACATTGTGCCTGCGGTCCGGTGTGGTGCGATCAAAATGCTGCAAGCACTATTTTGATCGCACAGGACCGGACCTCAGGCACAATGTGCCTTGCGATCCTGTGCGGCCGATCGAATTGCGGCCAGAGGGCATGGCTACGGTGCCATTCACTTCAATGGCCTGCCACCCTTCCTGCCCCACAAAAAAGTGAGCTGTGCGCAATGCGATGCAGTGCATTCTGGCCAGCATCGGGTTGGAGCGCACTGCATCTGGTGTGAACGAACCCTTAAAGAAGTGCTATTGAAGAATTAACAATTCTGCAGCATTTCCCTTAATGGTGGTGTTAAACTGAATTAGGGTGTGTGTGTGTGTGTGTGTGTGTGCGCGTGTTTATGATAGTTAGAATATTTATTATAGTTGTGTTAAAAAGTTTGCATTCCCTGGCAGAAATCGTGAAACTTTTAGCATTGATATTGAAAATATGACTGATCATGCCAAGCATATTTAGTGATCATATGAAGCCATTTAGACAGTGATCATATGAAGCCATTTGTTATCTTAGTTGTTTGGCTCCTTTTTTAAATCATAATGATAACAGAAATCACCCAAATGGCCCTGATCAAAGTTTACATACCCTGCAATGTTTGGCCTTGTTACAGATACACAAGGTGACACACACAGGTTAAAATGACAATTAAAGGTTAATTTCCCACATCTGTGGCTTTTTACATGTCCTGTGGCCCCGCCCATGTCCTGGTGAAGTCCCGCCCATATCCTGACGAAGCTCTGCCCCATCCTGACGAAGCTCCACCCGCCAAAGCCCCACCCCCAGCTCGGTAACCAATCTATGTGGGGAGGAGCCTCCATGTCCCTCATTTTCTTGTCACTGGTGAGGCATCGAGATCGATGTCCTCACTGTTGTTTTTAATTTTTTTTTATTGGACAGCTTGGACCAATGGCGCTTTGCCATTCCAACCATCCACAGAGCTCACACCTCTTACATAGAGTAGAGGCTGTGACAGCTCTTGCCTCACCAAGTTAGGTTGCACAAAGCAGTGGGGAAGACCGCTGCTGTGTAACCTAACTAGCTGTCAAAAGCCAGATGCAGTGCCACCTGTAATTAACAGGCAGCGCTCTGTCCATGACAGGTTACACAGCGGGGAGGCTTTCCCTGCTGTGTAACCTGTAGCAAGCCGATCTGAATGGAGAAGAAGCTGTCAGCTTCAGACTTGAAGCTGACACCTTTTTTCTTCATAATACTAGGTGAGGCTCTGCCTCACCTGCCCGCACGTCCCTGCTTGACATGCCTCAGCAGGTGAGCTCTAAAGGCACGGGGGAATCTTGTGAAAATTGATGACTAGATGAATGAAGCATGTTATCAGAAAATACTGGCAGACAATTTGGATTCTTCTGCATGAAAGCTGTGCATGGGACGCCCTTGGATTTTTCCACACGACAATGACCCTAACCACAAGGCCAAGTTGACCTTCCTATTGTAACAGCAGAAAAAGGTGAAGATTCTGATGTGGCCACCACAGTCTCCTGACCTCAATATCATTAACCACTCTGGTAGATCTGAAACGTGCGGTTCATGCAAGACAACCAAAGACTTTGCATGACCTGGAGGCATTTTGCCAAGACGAATGGGCAGCTATACCACCTGCAAGAATTTGGGGCCTCATAGACAACTATTACAAAATACTGCACGCTGTCATTGATGCTAAAGGGGGCAATACAGTATTAAGAACTAAGGGTATGCAGACTTTTGAACAGGGGTCATTTTTTTTTAATCGGTTGCCATGTTTTGTTTTATGATTGGGGCCATTCTGTTATGACCTACAGTTCAATATGAATCCCAGAAGAAATAAAAGACATTTATTCTGCCTGCTCACTGCTCACTCATGTTTTCTTAAAAAATGGTACATGTAATACCTATTCTCCAAGGGTATGCAAACTTTTGGGCACGTGTGTGTGTTCATTTTACACACTTCTGGCATACCAATGCAACATTTAGATATATGAATATAACATTTTTTGTGAAAAAACTCACACTGTAAAAATATCCTAATGAATTGAACCCTAAACCTGATGATTTATAGGAATGTCATATCTCATAATTGTCTCCTGTCTAGATAGTGGAAAAAAATGCTGATCCGGAGGACTTGCTGCTTTTTTACCTGAGAAAGAAATGTATCCTTTTGTGAAAGTCTAGTTGCCTGACTGTCATGCTGACCATCTCATTAAATGCTTGGAGTCCCTGACCCTGCAAAAGTATTCAGACCAGGAGTTCTGACTTCACTGGATGCATACAGAGGCAAAACTAGGAACCTCAAGGCCCCGGTTCAAGAAACCATGAAGGGCCCCCACTCCACCCCCCCATAAAAAAAATGTTGGCGCCTTGGCAGTTACTGGGGTAGTGCATGTGTGTAGTCCCAGGAGGCAGGGCCACCAGTTGAAATGATGGGACCCCTACAGGTTGGGCTATTCAGATTATTATTAATAATTTTATTTATTATTTGTTTAACTTATCAATTTAATTTTTATTTCCATCTTTATTTTTTTTTATTTTTTGTGTGTGTGATAGCATTCAGAGGTGATGGGCTCTCTTTATGAGCCTGCCCTCCAATACAGAATATAGAGCACATGAGTGCTCTATCTTCTATACAACTCAGGTTGTGACAGCTGACACAGGAGCACTGTGAGTACAGAATTGTAGAAAAAATGAAGAAACAAAAAATCCCAGCCCGGCACCCCTTCAGACCGCCCCCCCCCCAAGTGGCAGAGCGCCAGGGCCCAGTCGCAAATGTGACAGAGAAGCCAGAGAAGACAACTACCATTTTCGCAACATCACCAGTGGCAGGCTAAGTATTCCTCAGATGAGTCTGGGCTCATACATTTAATTCAATGGTCATTCTCGAAGTTTCTTACAAATGCTTTTTCTTCTTCTTCTTTTGGGCACCCCTGCACACTACACCAGCATGTCTGTACAGCAGCTTGTGGCAACACTACAGTGCATTGCCATGTGTTGTTCTCTGGGTTAGGTGTAATCTGGGCTGGGTTGCCAGTTTATTCAAAATCAATGGGCTGCATCAATGCAATGCTCAGTAGTGCACATGTGTTAATGCACGGCAGAAATGTGATCTCAGCCTTCACACTATGTGCATTAGACTGTGTTGCTTAACTCAGGCCCAATGCAATGACAAGTTGAAATCTATTGTTTCCAATAGGCAAAATTCACGCCAACTCACTGCATTGGTGCGTGCTCGATGAAAAAGGAACATGCTGCATTTAAACACAGTATAGCATGCTGCAGTGTGCATGCAGCAAAGAAAAATAAAGCATTTGGGCTGCAGCTGTAAACAAACCTAATGAAAAAACTACACGCAAACACCTGCCTACGTGTGTCAAGTAAGTGTAATGTTATGGTGTAAATCCAGCTCTGGAGTGTGGTGGTTAGCTGCAACATGATCATGACCAACACTAATTTGAATGGGTTCTTTTCAGGCTGCATCTCCTTAATTTAGACATCATTACATAAATAAACAGGAAATAAGGACATCAAGCATTTATTTGAATTTGTTGGATCCCATATGAGATGCTTTTGTGCACATGGCATGTGTGATCAGTACAAGGACCCCCATTCAACCTATTTTTATGTAAATACACAGCACTTTTTCACCTGTTCAATTGCAAAAATGTTCACACTAATCAAGGCAACCTGCTATCATTTGTGTCATATAGATGGAGATATAGATATATATTGTACACTGTGTATGTATATAATCTATATGTAAAAGAGCTTGTGTGTGTTACCACTGGATTACTGATTGTAATCACTGTTTTATTGCATAACAAAATGATTATATGACTCAGACTGCACACTCCCTGCAAAACTTGGTTTTAATTAAATAGGAGTGCCCAAATGGTTTATTACCTGTGCTGGAAAATAGGTCAGGAAAATAAATTGGTTATTGGTGGGCCAGTGCTATGCCCACAGGGAAAAGCGGCCATGTTCACAACAAAACCTCCTAAACTGGGTACGGTTTTCCAAACAATGACTTTATTGCAAGCCCATTAAAACATTAGCTATATCTTGAACCTATTGCGACAAAATAGAAAACAGGGGTTTAAAGGGAGGTATATAGCCATTGCATGGATGCATTTTTATCAAAATATAAAGTTTATTATACACTGAATAAATAATATAAATTCATATGTGCAATGATTACACTAAGCAATAACAACATTACTAGTGTCAGGAGCATATATGTCATAAAATGTATTATCACATCCCCATAGCTTTAGTTACATTCATTTAATACCACATCTACGTTTCAAATGAAGATAGATATCTCCAGGTCTGACGCGTTTTGCATATTGCCTCCTCAGGTGATCATGATTGATCTAGCGATAGAAATTATACATGCAATTCATTCTCCTGAACAATACATCATATCCATAAAGAACTCATAAAATATGAATCAAAAACTCATTGACAGTCAAACCAAGCAGAACAGATGTCCCACCACCAATAAGCACCCGGCACTTACCATACTCATATGGTATCTGTGAAGGGACATAAATTCCTAGACCGAGTGGGGATGGGGATTAAAATCCACCTCCCCAACTATTTTAATCCCTATGTCCACTCGGTCTATGAATTTATGACATGATTTTACCTAAACTGCATCAACCTGCTTCAAGCTGCTTTTGCATTCCCATAGACTTGTCTGGGGAGAGAAGCAGGTAAGCAATACAAATGTTGCCCTGTTTGTTAAATAATGAATAAAATTAAATGTACTGAAATGTTTCCCTTAACGGATCCTACAGTGCGCTTAACTGGCACGAAGTATGGCTGTGGTGGAGGTGGCTGTGGCGCTTGCACAGTTATGGTGTCAACTATCCACCCTATTTCCAAGAAAATCCGGTATCCTTTCTCCCAGCTGAATCCTATATTTTTTTGTATTAAAAGGAGGTATTTTGTGCGAGTAGGCACATTCTTTAGCCTTGATAGTCATTATCTTCGATCTAGATCTTTACAGGGTTTTGGCAGCATTTAAGCAGCTACGTTTTAGTAAGTGTCCGCCAGTTCCTTGTTTTACTACATTGTTCTGCTTTAAAGGATATAGAAACCCTAGAATAAAAACATTTGTATTGCAGCATACCAGTGCTTGTATGTGGTGACTGCATAAGATTTGTGTTGTGGGGGTTTTTTTTCTTCTTTTCAGGATAAGCACAATTTAAGTAAAATTGAAGTAAAATGGCAAATACCTTCTGATCATGCCAGTGTTCTTGTCACATCCTGTGAGTTGAACTGAAGTTATGTTTGTGACGAACTAGGAGCGCAGAGAGAATACACAGAGGCAAATCACATGGAACCGTGCGGGGTGTTTATTGGGGAATTCAGGTGTACAAAGCAAGGTACAAAGGCCGGGGTTAGGTCCTGGGGGGTTGCAGGCCACGGGGAGGGTCCACCCAGAAGGTAGGCAACGGGCCAAGGAAGGAGTAGATCCAGAGTCACAAGGCTAGTAGTCCAGGGGTCAGAGGTGCAGCAAGAGGTAATCCAACAGGTAACAAGGCACCGTGTGAGTACATCCAGTACGGGTAAAACAACAGATCCCAGCAGTCCTCACAGCAGCAGTGGAGCAGAACAGGCAGGGTTAAGTCCGTATCCCTTGAATCCACAGACAGAGACCGGCCTCAGCGCAGCCTCTAGTCAACCATTCAGCGAGGAAGAGAGCATGCAGCCTTCCCACAAACACTTACAAAGGTCCCGGGAGGGGCCGGCCTGAGAGGGGAGGGAAGGGGCAGTACACAGGCTGTTGCTGAGCAACTAACCCCCTCCCCTCATGTGTCCTTTGTTCTGGGGAGGATTGAATGGAGGGAAACAGCAGACATGTCCTGGCTTGTCTCGGTGCCCAGTGTTTTAGGCCCTCTGCTGTTTTGATTTGCGGACTTCTGCCTTTGAAAGTCAACAGGAGGTGGGGAGGATTGGAGAGCAGAGAAATGATCTCAGGAGCCCCCCTCTCTACAATGTTCCATAGCTATCTTCTGTAAACTTCCTATTGCCCTGCCCTCCATGTAATGGAGATGAAGGACGTGTTTGTAGTTCATATTAGGCGTGCACCCTGGGTGACAACTATGGCACCCTCAAAAGATACAGTGCAGGAGATAATACAGCCATCCAAGGACAATACATATGGGGAATAGCAGGTGGAAAAAAAATCCTGCCACCTCATTTAGTGACTGGTAATTTGAAAATCATTTTATTTTTTTGCTTCTGTGTTTAGATATACTTTCAATCTTTAGAATGAACACAATGAGAAACTAGACTTTAATTACATGAAGGATACAGTTAGAATCTTTATTGTAGCATTGACATTCTGTAAAGTGGGTCATTTCTAAGATGCAGCTCTCTGGTTTGTAGAAGAATCCTAAATGCATGACTATATAACTTTTACTAGATATGGAAATACTTGCTTTTGCTCCTAAACCCGAACCCCTCTAGCACCTTTTAATTATATGTGCACTTTGAGAATTTGTAAGGGAAATTTGAAGGATCTGGAAGGTAATCTTAAAAATATTTGGTTGTATGCTTTTGTTGTTTCTTGTTATGCTTTTCTTCTCTGTCTATATAAAAGCCAATGGGAATGCAATATATAATGAGACCATGGTGAATTTTTTTTATCAAATACGTGTGTGTGTGTGTGTGTTTAATAAAATGTATTAATAATGATATCTTGCTAGACAAGCTTTTGTTTAACTCCCTTCTGAGGTCAACTCCTATCTACACCAAAGGCCTGCCTATGGTTGTTTGTATTGCCTTAAAACAATTTCTTTCCGCATTTGGCTAATGTTCTGTTTGTGGTGCAAGGTTAGTTATCACAAACTGATTTTCCACACTCAGACTTGCTCATTATTCCTAGGGAGTTAAAGTTTTTTATTTAAACCCAGGAACTAAAAATAATATTGCAGCTTATCAGTTCTTAGATGTGGTGGCTGCAATAATTTCATTTTTCATGCGTTTCCTTTATTTTCACCTAGAGGTCCTGCTTTCTGTTTTGACAATGCTCACTCACTGTAGTTCACAGATAGAACTCGGGCAAGGCTGATAACCATAGCAAAACAAATGATTATCCGCGCTATAGTGCTCTGCCCCAATCTCCTCAAAAACACCCTATTGACAGCTGCAGAGATAGAGAGAAGCTATATAAACTTCTCCCACAATATATTAAACAAAAAGACACTGCGCTATCTTTAATATTATAAAACTCTAAGTGCATATACTTAGTGACAATTATACAACATTTTCACTCAAACTTATATGTAGTCCATATAAAAATATTCCCAAAGTTGATGTGATTAAAAATAAATGTGATGAAATCCTTGTGTTCACTTTCTTTATATCAGTGAGTCAAATAATAATTGTATATAAAGTTCCACAATCACTCGTGACTTCTGTGCTTCAATTCCTCGTCAATTAATCACCAGTGATCCACCTTTAGGTGATGAATTTCACAGTAATTTTAAATCACTAAAACACACACTAGAGAAGCAATTGATGATATGGTGGGGCATTGTCTCACATGAAAGGTATTTAAAGGAAGGGATCATGCCGAGAAGTCTGCGTTGGGATGTCCCACCAAATGATGGACTCAAAGATGGGGAATCCCAAGTAGAGTGGCTAGCCTTTTTTAAACATTGTGAAGAAAAATTATTGAAATTGCTTATTAATAGAAAGAGAAGAAAATTTTGGTCAGAATTATCTGGTGAGTGTGCTAGCGTTTGTGCACCTGGAGGTGGGTCACTGGTGATTAATTGACGAGGAATTGAAGCACATAAGTCACGAGTGATTGTGGAACTTTATATACAATGATTATTTGACTCACTGATGTAAAGAAAGTGAACACAGGGATTTCATCACATTTATTTTTAATCACATCAACTTTGGGAATATTTTTATATGGACTATATATAAGTTGGAGTGAACATGTTGTATAATTGTCACTAAGTATATGCACTTAGAGTTTTATAATATTAAAGATAGCGCAGTGTCTTTTTGTTTAATAAGGCTGATAACCATGTCTGAGACTTGAGAGCAGCCCTTAAGCCAACACTTTAAATGAGGAAGTATTGGTAGGGCAGTATTGGAAAGGGTTTGCTAGCTGAAAGTTAATGTTTGGCTATAGGGGGTTAAATCATATCTAAATCCATTTTAGATTTTTAGAGAAGGGAAACTTGGAACCTCATTTAATTTTTATTTTATATAATTCATTTTTGGGGGGGCTTCCGTGACTCATTATGGCGCGTTATTTTTTAACTTCCTGTTCATTAGACTCAACAGGAACTGATAGGATATCTTTGCAATGTGAGGCCAATCAGACAGTTGTTACAGAAACAAGTGTCCCCATTGGAAGATTATTCCTCTTCTTACATTCTGGTGGCAACTGAAAATTTTGGGTTTACCCTCATTTTTATTCCCAGTGATATTGATGATTAAAACAAATGAAGAGAGAGTGAATTTGACTTTAGTTATACTTTTACTTATAATTTAAGCAGGGGGTTAGAGTTTTTGGGTCAGATAAAATGTTAAGGTGTTAATGTAAAGATTATGTTAAAGGATAACTATACTTGTATTACAGTTCTCTTTAAATGGTGGTCAGGGCACTGATGCATGGTGTTTTGCATTTTCTCCCTGTGCTTGTGTGGGTTTCCTCCCATACTCAAGACTTGCTGGAAGGTTAATCGTCTCCTGTCTAAATCAGCCCTATATGTATAAATCTATGTAAGGTAGGGACCTTTTGGATTGAAAGCTCCTTGAGGGCAGTGACAGATCTGAATGTGCAGTATCTAAAGAGCTGTGTAAATTGTTGGCGCTTTATAAATGCATACACTTTCCTGTCCTTTTATTCCTCATAGACCTTCTCTATTCATTCTGCTATGAGCATCACAGCCTCCTCACAAATCTCCTGACCAGGCTGTAAATGCACATAAGAATTTATATTTATGGAAGGGCTGTCCATGATTGAGACTAAGCATGGATGGCCTTTGAATAGAAATTATTTGAGATTGTACTAAGCATACAAGTTCTAGCTGCAAAGCCTCCTCTTCATGCGAATGGGCTTTGCAGCCCTCAGCGGACCACACAATGGAGACTAATGTATAGGATTTGAGGAAAGGGGATTGTTTAAAGGATAACTGTGCCAAACATACAATTATGCTTTAAAGTAAACATGTCATGAGAGAAGGGCTGTCATTGCTAACCTTCTGAAAATGCTAAGTGCTTGTTTTTTTAATATTGACAAGCTGCCTTCAATAATCTGACTTGCCGAGATGAACAAATATGCAGATAATGACTACTGACTTTTTGATCTGCAAAAGTCCTTTTCTACATGCAAGTTTGATTTTAGTGACTGAGTATTAAAGCCAATGGATGAACATAACCGCAAGATAATTAAATAAAATCTTTAATTAGTTAGAAAAGTAGCCTCAATGTTTTCCCATTTCAAAATTTATTTTTGTATTAGGTTTTTTTTTTTTTTTTTTTAATGTTACACTAAGATTGTGGCCATGGGCTGTAGGTCAACGCTTATTAATTTTCCTTCTACCTTTTGTGCAAATTTACATGGGTATTATTGGCATGAGACAGCACTGTTACATCTACTCCACATACCTTTCATATTTTAATTATTTCTGGTCTGCTTAGGCTTTGAATCTGACAGCTCAATATGTTATTTTTATGATGGATTGTGTGACAAAATTCAAAACCGGTCTACCTGCATGTAAAACCTATTGAACTTCTCTATACGGGGTTCATTTCCATAAGGCAATGGGCAGACTGCAGCCAGACTTTCTATTGAAGTAAATAGTCTGCATTGCAAAGATAAGTGCCCCCACTGTTTAACAGCATTACGTACTTGTGTAAGTTCGAGTTAGAACCGAACACGGGGGTGTTCGGCTCATCACTACTTGTGTGTAAATGATGGAGTGGAACTTGAAGGCCTTCTATAACACACTATTAGAAAAACTATACAGAAAAACTCTAAAAATATTTCTTCATCTTCTTAAGGGAACATATTTATATTCTTTATTCACAGTAGCATTCCATAGGACCAGCCTAAACCTTGCCCAAGTCAACCAGATATATTTGAACATGCTGAAAACAAGACTACAGTTCTGATTTATATTATTAGGACTGTCTGAAGCTAAAAAAATACCACAAATTAAATTCAGGCATAATTACTAGTCAGCCTTTTTTTGTGAGAAACAAAAAACAACTTGGCTTCACTTAACTGCTTTGAATGGAAAGTGCTTGGTGAGCCTTGTGTATTGACACCACTAAACTGTAATCTAAAAATTAAAGATTGCGTCTTTCAAGTCCTTTTTATATGTAGCAGTTGCATAGCCGTTCCTTTTTTTTTTTTCCACCTGGTAATCTGTGGAAAACACACTCTCTCTGTTCCTGGGTGGTTACACTCACGTCTTCAGCTTAACTATGGACAACCATAGATACAGTGAACTAAGTATCCGAAATGTAAATGCGCTAGCTATTCAGGGCTCCAGAATGCCGGTAACTGTTGAGATTAGCGGCTACAGTTCATTAATGCATGCCTCACTAATAAGGCATCCATTCATGAAATGTTTTTTTGCAGAAATATTGTTTATTGAAATTTTTCAGACAGACAAGAAATTGTAACAACATACAAAGGCAGCGTCAAGTGTGCATCTTTGAGGATAATAGGATAGCCGTAAATAATAACAACCGTATCTACAGTATATGTGTTAATGTGCCCGGGTCCAAGCCATACCTTCGCCCAAAAGTTCCCGTCCCTGCCCTGAGGGCTGCAGATGACTAAAGCCCACCCCAGTGGGGGGAGCATCGTTATTGAGTCGGGCGAGGACCTGGGCCTGCAGCATCAGGCGATAACCAGAAATCATGCGAAGGTCATGATCCTTTAACCACCAGGTAAGTTACTTCACCTAGAGCCACCTTACAAAAACAACATAACAATAGACTCACAACCAGACTAGACAAGCAGACACCAGAAGGACACAGAGACAATGAAATACAAGGAAGAAAGAAAGAGAGGAAGGGGGGGGGAGGAGGAGGGTTATTACGCGGTCAAAGAGAACAGAATTTGTATCTATGCCATTGTCCTAAACTCATCTGTCTCCATAAACATTAGCCAGGGCCTCCATCTAGACAGGAAGGTCTCAGACCTGTCAAGCCTCTCAGCAATCAGCTCCTCAGATCTCATTAGGCGACACATTTCCGTCGTCCATTCCCCCAAGGTAGGAACCACCTGGGAGTTCCAATGCCTAAGGATCAATGCCCTAGCAGCATTCACAAAGAATCGCAAGAGGGATTTCTTCGCCTGGGAGATGGAACCCGGGTAAACCGATAGGATTGTAATTTGGTGCGTGAGATGGAGTTCGCTGGCAGACATTCTGAAGTACACGTGTGAGACGGTTCGCCAAAAGGGGACAGCTCCACCATGTATGCAATAACGTACCCACGCCCGTTTGACACCTCCAACAAGTGTCTGGTATGGAGGGAAAGATCTGGTGCATCCTAGCCGGCGCTCTGTACCATCTAGTCAAAAGTTTGTAATTGCGTTCCTGCACCGCTGAGGACACACAGAGACTATGAGTGAAGCAGAAGCATTTTCGCCTCTCCTCCTCAGAAAGAACCACGTCTAATTCTGGCTCCCATGCGGAGATGAAGTACGGGGATTCCCTTCCGTCCCCAGAGAGTAGGGGTGGAGATTCTCCTGCTGCGCATAGTTGTTCAAATGCAGTCAGGGGGCCCATGCAAGGAATCGTGTGAAAGAAAGCTACGTAGAAACCATGTGTTTGCTGGCACATGGTCAGGTGCAAAAAGTTGGGCCAAAGATTGGAGGGTTCCCCCACAGAGTCCCTGAAAAAAGTAGGAAGGAGTCGTCACTTCCCAGCTCAGGAACCTGCGTACCCCACACCCAGGAGGAAACTCCGGTTGGGCCAGGATAGGGGTCATTAAGCCCCTAGGGGGGCGCCAATTTGTATTTGAGACTTGTAGAATCCCACACTTTGAGCACTGGAGTGAGCATTCATGAAATGTTTTATGAAGTTTCAGACACCCGATCGCTTTCAGTGATTGTGTGTCTGACAGTGATAGGAGTGCGGTGTGAATCACACTCCCTATTGCTGTGAGGTAGCCATACACATCGGGATTAGCAAATCTTGATGTGCACCAGCATTTTGCTGAATGCTTCAGCATAGAAACATTCATCAAAAGCCAAAAGCTGTTTGTTTCAGGCTTCTGATCATTGTGGCAACCAGCCACAATGATTAGAAGTCTAGTGACATCTGAATTTGGCATCCTGCAGTGCATGTCAGGCTCAGTGTCCCTAAGGTGATTATTGGCTGTTTCTGAGTTTTGGGGCAGCCTAATAACCAAAAATGTATTTACATTTATCAAGCAGTCATAGCGGCATCCATTCACAATGACTTCTTGTCATGCCTCAATTACATATATATATATATATATATATATATTATGGCAGATTTGTTTTTTACCCCAAGGTTTTAATTTTTTTATTTAACCCCCTCGTGATGGTGAGGTTCAAATATGTCACTGTCACTAAGTGTGGCAGTGACATTGTATGCCATCTGTCTATTAGCTTTAAGAGAAAACAAATTTAAAATGTTCGCTTTCAGTTTTACGCTGAGAAGTTAAAAAAAATGTATACCATCCTAGGCATGTGAGGTGTTTCCAAATAAAGGACAAATAAATTAATTTATTTTTTCTGCATTGTTTTTTTAAGCTGTTTTTCATCGATCGAAAGAACAGATTTTCCTTTGAGCATGTGCAGTTTTCATCTTGAGTTTTTTTGTTGTACAACAACGCCACTAACTTGTCAATTTTCATCCAACTAGACAAACATTTTCTAGCCTGCTTGAAAGACAAAAATCTGCCAGTTGTACAGTAATTGAGGTTGTGCACTTCCCACAAACTGGCAGATTTTTGGATGAAAACGCAATCGCAGACATAAATCTCCAGATAATTGTAAGGTGTATGGGCACCTTAAGGCACACATATGTAATATACATTATATAGCCCTATCTAAAAAACAAAATAATTTGTGGGCGCACTTAGTAAGAAAGTATATGCTTTAGTCATTAATGAACATGAAGGGGTGGAAGCTTCTGGGTCAGCTAACAGAGAGTAAGTGTGTTTTTTTAATTTATTTTTTGTAATTGCTGAAAAAGGTTTTAATCTTGGCCTAAAAAAAGAATATAAGCCACCACATCTACGAACTGGTAAGTTGCAATATATTAAAGGTTTGTTCTTGGGGTTAGTTCTATTTAAGACCCAATCTACCTCTTTAGACATCATGCATTACGCTTCTTTGCCTCAATTTCTCCTTTACTCTGAATAGTAAACTGTGGACAGAATGTTCACTATTTCATAATGAAGATAATGTTCTCGTGTTCTTTCTGTGTCCCACCCTCTGCTCCTTTGTGCATGCATTTTTGTGACCTAAGAGCTGGCTTCTATAAATAATACATCTTCTAAAAAAATGTACTCAAAGAAGAGGAATGAATCCTTAAATGACTGATGTGATAGTGGTAAAAACCAAACCAAATGTATTCCCTTACCAACTTCTTCAGCGTCTTAAAGTGTATTTCCACATTTGTAGTCAAATGTAGGAAACCCCCACTAGGTTATGTGTTCCCACTCTCACAGCATGCCTACAAGTTTTTTAACAAATGTTTCTCCCCTTTCTAGCTGTTTTCTAGGAGCAGAATTATACATAGAACACTACAGGCAGCTTCTAGTGGTTAGAATACATGGACGTGTGCAACTAAGGGACTTGCATACAACACCTTGAGATCTTTAACCCTTTTTTTAGGACACACCATTTATAAACTAGTTTATAAGTGAATAATTTGAAAAAAAAGGTTTGCTAATGTAAATGGGAACGTGTAATTAAATATAGTGTAGGTGGTAACCCAATCTGGCTGCAAAAGTGGAAATATACCAGTATGCTACAAAAAACAAATCCCAATTTAAAGGCCCTGCCATACAGAGAAGGCAAACATATAATGTGGCATTCACAAGTTTAAGTGCTCATGTATCACTTGACATTGCACGTGATCTAACAAATTACAATATCACTTGTCACAGTTAAGTTATGTGGTGGGATTGAGCACTTTGAATTAAAAGTGTTCATTACAATCACATATATGGCTTTTTCAACATGTTAATCATGCATAGCTCATGCTGTATTGGTGGCCACGCTGTGGTTTGTGGTTGGTCCCAGATGTCTGGTGATCTTGGTCATGAAGGATATTTTTCCCCTTATGTTTTATTTCTAACACAGCATTTAAATAAAATGTATTACTAGTTTCTTCAGTGACACTAGATATTTTTCAGTCCTTTACAAACCTGTAGACACTATCCAGCCACTGCCTGTCTGTTGCCCATTTGTTCCTTGCATGGCATGGCAATTACCACCACAGAAGGAATTGGCAATTCAGCTACAAGGCTTCATCCAGTCCAGGTAAGTGGGGTAGCTGCTGTTAAGGTATGTTGTCTCTAAAGGATGTGAATATAGTAAAAATCAGTATTACCTAACCATGCTGTTCTTCTTTTTTAGGAGAGGCTAGCAAAAGCCCATGGCTCCCAATGTGGGTTTTGTAGCCCTGGGATGGTGATGTCTATGTACACATTACTGAGAAACAATCCAGAACCCAGCATTGAGGATATTTTGGCCAGCATGTCTGGTAGGTGCTGAATATTTAATCCCGTAGATTTAATAACATTTTGTTGTGTGTGTGCTGTAGGTGTTTTTTTTGTTGTTTTTGCCATTTTGAAGAATGCTCATTTTAATGCCTTCAGATTTGTTTTTAGAAAAACATCTGAATTTTTTAGTGCACTTACACATTACACTCGATATCAATCTCATTCAGAATGGACCAAACCACAGAGCACTTGCACCAGTAGCATTTTACTTCAGCTATCAGAAATACCCCTAAACGTTTTCTTTGCTCATCATTCAAGATCTGTGCTGACGTCTCTCCAGCAGCTTTGGTTGAGAGTGTAAATCTTTTCATAAATAAGGGGACACAGTTGCACCAATGTTGGGTCTTTTGATTTTTAACTTGCTGTTGAAAAATATGAACCTGATGCTGGAGAGAAGCTGATGAAGCAGATCTGTGCTTCTTCAGGGTGGTCCTAGGTGACATTAGGGGTCTTGGAGACCCCTGATGTCTCCATAAAAAGGACCTTTCACATATTTTGTTATCACATAAGGGGGTTTCTCAGCCCCCTCTGTGATAGCAATAAAGTTAAGTAAAAAAAAAAAAAAACAATAGGAAAACAATTTAAAGTTTCCCCCCAATTTTTTTTAAAGTTACACATAAAAAAGAATTTAAAAAACCAATTTTTTTTAAAGTTCCCACCCCTACATACACGCATGTAAACATGCGTCAGGTGTGCATACCTGCGAAAACGACGATTGCGCCCATTACGCCGCTCATGTTACATATCGCCGCGAACGTCGGAATGAGAGCAATCATTTTAGGGCCATCAATCACTGATAACACTAAACTGATGAGCTGTAAAAGCTTTTAAAGCGTCGCCTATGGCCAATTTTGGGTATGCTAGTTTTTTGAGCTTGACATGTTTGGTGTCTATTTACCCGACGTGACCACAACTTTTATATTTTACCAAAAAAGTGGTGGAGAAAAAATTCCAGCACAATGGGCGAAGAGGGTTCTTTACAGTAAGAGCGGTTAAAGTCTGGAACTCACTGCCATCGGCAGTGATTTCAGCCCAGAGTGTAGATTTGTTCAAGAAATGTTTGGACAATTTCTTGAGGGACCGTAATACCCAGGGATACCAGTATCCCTAAAAATGAGATGATGCGTGGACCTATATGGGCTGGACTTGATGGACGTATGTCTTTATTCAACCCCAAATACTATGTAACTATGCAACTATATATATTAGTTGTTTTATAACATAATATTAAGTTTTATAACATAATATAGTAAAAAATAAAACCCCCCAGTGGTGATTAAATACCGCCAAAAGAAAGCTCTATCTGTCCCCAAAAAATGGTATAAAATAAATTTCAGTACAGCGTTGCATGACGGAATAAATGTCAGTCAAAGTACTGCAGCGCTGAACACTGAAAAATGGCCTGGCCAGGAAGGGGGTCTAAACACCTGGTCTTCAAGCGGTTAAATTGGCCCGAGGCCCCCAAATTACTCGGCCACCCCTCTCACTGTAAGTCTCCCTTTGTAATGATTGAGCGAGTTTGGCTGAGGATCTCAGCTGCGGAGAGGCTTTGTGGATGGCTCAGGTGGGGGGTTCACACTTACACTCTTTAGTGTGGCTGAGTGAGGTTTGAACCCTTAACACATCATATGCCACCACAGGCTGTAATTGCAGAGATAACAATAAGTGAACCTTCCCTCTTTGCAATATTGTGGTTAGTTGGGGCCTGTGGGGATTTGTAGTTCAAAATAAAGTAGTTCACTCCATGAATGCAAAAAACTATTGCAGGCTTATCAAACAGTAATTAGGAGTACTCCTGAGCAAGCCCCCTTTGTAGAGCAGTGTCTCTTTAAACCCCACTGAGTTGCAGGCAATGTAAACAATTACAGGGTCCAGGATGGTACTTGCGGTTTGTTGGGGTATTCAGAGCCCTCCAGGAGTACAGGGCGAAGGATCACTGCTGTGCTGGAAGAAGTCCGGATTAATGCTGCTGGAGTGAAAGGTTCATGTGATGGAGCAGAGGTATGAGCCCTAAGAAATTGCTCAA